TTCTCCCCTCTCTCAGAGCCCCGTCCCTTTCCCTTCCCTCGCCCCCGATTTCTCTGGTCGACGGTCGACCCGGTTCGTCTCAAAAATGCACTTGGGCCGGCCCAAAACTAGCACCAACACCCGCCACACTTCCATAGCTGAAGAAGTCCTTCAACTCGCCTTACATAACGGCCAATCCGGCCTCGAAAGGGTTCTCGTCTCGTTTGAGTCGAAGCTTTGCGGCACCGATGACTATACTTTCTTGCTTCGAGAGCTTGGAAACAGAGGTGAGTATGAAAAGGCCATCAAATGTTTTCAATTCGCGGTTAGAAGAGAAAGAAGAAAAACTGAACAAGGAAAATTAGCTAGTTCCATGATTAGTATTCTCGGTAGATTGGGAAAAGTTGAACTTGCTAAGGGCATTTTCGAGACTGCCTTGACTGAGGGTTATGGAAATACTGTTTATGCCTTCTCTGCTTTGATTAGTGCTTTTGGGAGAAGTGGGTATATTGATGAGGCAATAAAGGTTTTCGATTCCATGAAAAACAATGGGTTGAAGCCAAATTTAGTTACATATAATGCTGTGATTGATGCTTGTGGGAAAGGAGGTGTGGAGTTTAAAAGGGTTGTGGAGATTTTTGATGAGATGTTAAGGAGTGGAGTGCAGCCAGATCGAATTACTTTTAATTCGTTGCTTGCGGTTTGTAGTAGAGGGGGTTTATGGGAAGCCGCAAGGAATTTGTTTAGTGAGATGGTTCATAGAGGGATTGATCAAGATATTTTCACTTATAATACACTTTTGGATGCGGTTTGTAAAGGTGGACAAATGGATTTGGCTTTCGAGATTATGGCTGAAATGCCTACAAAAAATATTTTGCCTAATGTTGTTACTTATAGTACTATGATTGATGGATATGCAAAGGCTGGTAGATTTGATGACGCGCTCAATTTGTTTAATGAAATGAAATTTTTGGGTATTGGTTTGGATAGAGTTTCATATAATACTGTGCTTTCTATTTATGCAAAGCTTGGTAGGTTTGAGGAGGCTTTAGATATTTGTAGGGAGATGGAGGGTTCAGGGATCAGGAAGGATGTTGTTACTTACAATGCACTCTTGGGTGGATATGGGAAACAAGGGAAGTATGATGAAGTTAGAAGATTGTTTGAGGAGATGAAAGCACAAAAGGTGTCACCTAATTTATTGACTTATTCAACAGTAATTGATGTGCATTCAAAGGGTGGTTTATATGAGGAGGCAATGAATGTTTTTAGAGAGTTTAAGCAGGTAGGATTAAAGGCTGATGTTGTTCTCTATAGTGCATTAATTGATGCCTTGTGCAAGAATGGGTTGGTGGAATCTGCTGTATCCTTTCTTGATGAGATGACAAAGGAAGGGATCAGGCCTAATGTTGTTACGTACAATTCTATCATTGATGCTTTTGGTCGGTCTGCAACTTCTGAATGTGTGTTTGATGCTGGTGGTGAGATCAGCGAGTTGCAAACTGAATCTTCTTCATTGGTCATTGAGCTTGGTATTGAAGGCAAAGCAACAGATGGGGAGGATAACCAGATCATAAAAATTTTTGGCCAGCTAGCTGCTGAAAAAGGAGGTCAAGCAAAGAAAGATTGCAGAGGCAAGCAGGAAATCTTATGCATCTTGGGAGTTTTTCAAAAGATGCATGAGTTAGAGATTAAACCAAATGTTGTCACATTTTCAGCCATCTTAAATGCTTGCAGGTATAATTTTATATCATTTTCTATGCCTATCGATAGATCAGTTGCTTTTCATTTTTTTTCATTGAAAAACATGAACTTGGTACAAGAGTCCTAGAGTCCTAGAGTCCCGTTTGTTTCTAGCTCCACTGAGTAGTGTTTGTTATTGAAGTTGGCATTGTAAATTGGTTTCCTGCCTGTGCACAGTTTATGGGCACTCTATATGTATCTTATGGGTTATATGCCATAGTTTCTGCCTAAAAAACAAAGGTGACAGTAACTGTTCAAGAATTTTTTGTATATGTTCAATTGTATTTGATCAAATGACGGCTAGGTTTATGTGATTTGTAAATAGTGGGACTTCATTTGTCAATCCGCCTCTTTTGTTGTTGCACATATTAAACAACCTTTATCTAAAAAACATGGATGATCAGTTGTATGTATTGCTTTGGATGCAGCCGCTGTGATTCCTTTGAGGATGCTTCAATGTTGTTGGAAGAGCTCCGGTTGTTTGATAATCAGGTCTATGGCGTGGCCCATGGGCTTCTTATGGGCTGTAGGGAGAATGTTTGGATCCAAGCTCAATCCCTATTTGATGAAGTGAAGTTGATGGACTCTTCGACTGCATCTGCCTTTTATAATGCTCTGACTGACATGCTTTGGCACTTTGGTCAGGTTAGCTATTGTATCGTAGCTGCATCACTGGTTTGATGCACTTCTTGCTTAGTTGTGTTCCGCTATGATGTTTATTGCTTTTTATCTTCATGATTTAGGAAGAACTTTATTTGAAAAGCTTGACACTGTTAAAATGTTCCTTGTAGAAACGGGGAGCCCAACTAGTTGTGCTTGAAGGGAAACGTCGGCAAGTGTGGGAGAATGTATGGTCGAATTCTTGCTTAGATTTGCATCTTATGTCCTCTGGTGCTGCTCGAGCAATGGTGCATGCATGGTTGCTAAACATACGTTCTATCGTTTTTGAAGGTCATGAATTGCCAAAACTGTTAAGGTGACCAAATTGGTTTTGCATTTATATGGGCTGGTTAAAATGTTCCTTTTAATATCTTGTTTCAAAAGTAAATATATGTTTCCTTCTTTGTCCAGCATTTTGACCGGATGGGGCAAACATAGCAAAGTAGTTGGTGATGGTGCACTAAGACGAACTGTTGAGTCACTCCTCACCGGCATGGGTGCACCCTTTCAGCTTGCTAAGTGTAACTTAGGTAGATTTGTATCAACAGGTCCCGTGGTTACTGCCTGGTTAAGAGAATCAGGCACCCTAAAGTTGCTTGTTCTTCATGATGATAGAACTCAATCTGAGAACGCAGGGTTTGGACAAATCTCAAATTTACAGACCCTTACTTTGTAGGAGCGCGTATATTATGACGATTCCTTTCCTTTTAACTTTTTGCTTTTTTGGCTTTTCCTCATGTTTACCCCTGTAAGTTGTACAAATTATCAAAGAATTGATGTATATATCTCAGCCTCCCTTGCTCTCACCCGTCTCCTTGTAGCTTATACTTCCTGTTATTGCATCAATCAGCTAGAAACTATTTTGTGGCAGTATATGAAGCTCACTTTGCATCTTTTTCTCATGATTTGAACTGGTTGTTTGAAATTTGTTATACAGTTTCGAGTTAGTGAGACGGAAAGAAAATGGGCAAAGAATGGATAAAGAAGATTTAGTCCAATTCTTCTGGATGAGTAGTAGTACGTAGGAAATTTGGCTATTATAGAACAACCAACCTTTCAACTTGGATATTTTATCATGTCCTACAGCACTTCATAGTCACTCAAGAAGTAAAAATACAGTAAAAGTTTTCATACATGCCAGCCATTAAGCACCTACAAATTTACATTTTCTTTTCAGGCTATTTTGCTAAGAAAAGATCTACCTATACCCAAAAAAAAAAAAAAATTACTACGGGGATATTTGATACATATTTAATGAACTTTAAATATAGCTTTCGAGATAAATTTTATTTAAACTAGAAAATTTTCTTTCACATATCCAAATTTTGAAGTTTAGAGATGAAGTCACTGCGGATTAAACAAATGTAAACACTGGACTCCGACTCGTAAGCGTAATGTATGCAAGTCTGTGGGCTTTGGCTAAATGGGCACGTAGCCATGGCCGCAGGTTGGGTTTTGGGCCCTTCCCGTCGGCCCGTTCTGCTCTCTTGGTTCCAGTTATGGCCCATAGAAACACGAAGATTGTCCAACGTTCAAAATTGAAACTGAAATGAAAGGAGTGCGTGCCTAACTACCGCGGGAGAAGAGATCTACCAAAGATGAACCAAACCAACCGACCCTACCCCGCGTAACGGCCATCTTTCCTATTATTCTTGTTTTGGTGCTTCAATATTTCTTCACCTTCCCTTCCCTTCTAAATCAATCAACTAACTACTCATAAACAACCTCTACATTGTTATTTACTTTTATCTCTCTCTGTATTCCAGATTTTCAGTCCACTCTGTTTTAAGTTCCATCTCGGGGTCGATGCTCTTTATTTAATTCTCCTTCCTTCATTTGATTGTTCTAAATTTCTCGCTGGTTGTTCCTTTTACCTTCATGCTAAGGTTGTTGCAAACTGATTTAACCTGAGAGGGGGGTTTCTATGATTTCTTCTAGTCCTGAACATTCCTAGAACATTGTATGATTTGCAGGGATCTGGTCTTAGAATATGGCGACAGGGACACTGTTCACCCGGACTACACAGGCATTGTTCTACAACTACAAGCAGCTTCCAATTCAGCGAATGCTTGATTTTGACTTTCTTTGTGGTGTGTTCGTTTAATCCTTAATCATTGTGGGGTGGTCTGAGTTTTAATATTTGATACTAATGAGCCAGGGAATTAAGTTGTAACTTTCCATTTTTGAATTTTCTAGGTAGGGAAACACCCTCTGTTGCTGGAATTATCAACCCAGGTTCTGAGGGATTCCAAAAGCTCTTTTTTGGTCAGCAAGAAATTGCAATCCCAGTTCATTCAACGTATGTTCCCCTGCTCTCTCTTTCAACCTGTAGTATTTTCTTCAGTTACTCACTTTTTACATTTTCCCCCCTTGGGTTCTATAAATTTCTCAAATTTGACTATTACTTGCAGCATTGAAGCAGCTTGTGCTGCCCACCCTACTGCTGATGTTTTTATCAACTTTGCATCATTCAGAAGGTTGGCCTTCAAACTTCAAATCTTGAATCAGATTGTTTCTTTTTTTTTTCCCGGATAACCAAATAAAAAAATGTTGAGTGTATTTCAAATTTTCAATACATATGCAGTGCTGCAGCTTCATCATTGGCTGCTTTGAAACAGCCGACCATCAGAGTGGTGGCTATAATTGCTGAAGGTGTTCCGGAATCAGATACTAAGCAGTTGGTTGCATATGCTCAAGCAAATAATAAGGTTTTGTCTGAATTGATGTTGGATGGACACGTTAATCATTTAATTTTGTAGAAGCAATCTCTAGGCCCTTGATTTTTAGAAATAACAGTGACTCGAAATTATATGAAGGAATTTAATGAATGTTCCTTATTTGTACACTTTGTACCTTCCCTTCCCTCATTCTTCATTAAACAATGTGAAACTTGACCAAGTAGTTTGTACCTGATCTTGGCAATGGCATATATGGTTTCAGGTTGTTATTGGCCCTGCCACAGTCGGCGGTATCCAAGCAGGAGCTTTTAAGATTGGTGATACGGCGGGAACAATTGACAACATCATCCACTGCAAACTTTACAGACCTGGGTCTGTTGGATTTGTCTCTAAATCAGTATGTTCAGTTTTCTTCTCAAACTTGTGCAAATACTATTTTTTTTTTTGAAAGGCATGCAAATACTATTTTGCATTTGTCATTTTTGAATCTTACCAAATTAAAAATTAGTGTTGCACTTGAACTTTGGCTGCAATGGCAAAATTATAGAGCTCTTTTATTGATTTGTGACTTTGTGCTTAGTTTTTATGCAAGGGCTAAGCATTTAATTCAATTTTAAGGCCTTTTCCACTTAACTGTGGGTAATGTTTCTCCTTGTTCTGAGAATCGTCTTTTCCATGCACAGGGTGGCATGTCTAATGAACTTTACAACACAATTGCTCGTGTTACAGATGGCATCTATGAAGGTAAGTGTTCCTTATCGATCATGTTTTGTTCTGTTTTAATCAGGACTCACAAAAGCTCTGAATTTCTGAAGGGATTGCAATTGGAGGAGATGTCTTTCCTGGCTCAACTCTTTCTGACCACATATTGCGATTCAATAACATCCCACAGGTGTTGTAATCTTCTCAATGCACAAGTCATTTTGGCATATAATTGGAAGAGTTCTACTGACAACAAGATTTCCTGATATTTAACTTTGATTTCTTACAGCATCCTTACCTGGGATCATAGAATTCATCATCTGAATGTATTCAAGGATAGGTCATTAATGGTTCATGACTTGCGCTTTCTTTCCAAAAAATCTATCAGTAATAATAAATACTCCAACAGGGACATTTGCTGATAAGTGCTCAAAGTACCAAAAGACGTCTAATTGTCTAGTTGATATTTACTGTCCAATGCTGTATAGTTGTGTTCTTTAAACAACAGTTATGAGCATTAACTTAACACCCAAAAGATCTTATCTCTATTTTTATCCCTGTATTTTAGATTACAAGTCTAGTTAATGCAAAATTATGACGTGTTTTCTTGCAGGTCAAGATGATGGTTGTTCTTGGGGAACTTGGGGGTCGAGATGAATATTCACTAGTTGAAGCTCTAAAACAGGGGAAAGTAAACAAACCTGTAGTTGCTTGGGTTAGTGGAACATGTGCAAGGCTATTCAAATCAGAAGTGCAGTTTGGTCATGCTGTGAGTTACTATCTCAAAGCTTTGATTTATTGTGTTTAGCCTGAACAGGTTCAATTTACCTCTAAAACTGTCATTTTAAAGGGTGCTAAAAGTGGTGGGGAAATGGAATCAGCACAAGCAAAAAATCAGGCATTGAAAGAGGCCGGTGCTGTTGTTCCCACTTCATATGAAGCATTTGAGACTGCAATTAAGGAGACATTTGAGAAACTTGTACGGGTTGATCACTTGTATTTGTATATCTTGTCTCTATTGTTTCTTCTTGTTATGCTTTTAAACATCCCAAGGAAGTTATATCTGACTCCTATTTTTAGGTTGAAGGGGGGAAAATTACTGCAGCAAAAGAATTCAAGCCTCCCCCGATTCCTGAGGATCTTAATAGCGCAATTAAAAGTGGGAAAGTTCGAGCTCCAACTCATATTATATCTACCATCTCTGATGACAGAGGTTTGAACCTATTTTTCTCTTGTAATACTTTAGTTGCCTTCATTTATGAGCAAGAATACTGGCATCCTCATTTTGTTTCTGGCTATGCAGGTGAGGAGCCATGTTATGCTGGTGTTCCAATGTCCTCCATTATAGAACAAGGTTTAGGAGTAGGTGATGTCATCTCTCTTTTGTGGTTCAAGCGTAGTCTTCCTCATTACTGTACACGTTTTATTGAGGTAGGAGTTTCAAATTACTATTTTTCAAGGAACCCTTTTCCTTCAATTTCTATTCTCACCATCTTTGGAATTTTAGCACATTAATGGTTTCTATGATCAGATCTGCATCATGTTATGTGCTGATCATGGTCCCTGTGTCTCTGGTGCTCACAATGCTATAGTCACTGCAAGGGCTGGAAAGGATCTTGTTTCTAGCCTTGTCTCCGGTATATATCTTTGAACATAAGTGGCTTCTATCCTTGCCTAATTGTCTTTTTTATTTATGCTTGATGTAGTGTTGGCATATTGGTTGCATCTCATGGCTAATATGATTGATTTTTCTGGTAACAGGTTTGCTTACAATTGGTCCCAGATTTGGTGGAGCCATTGATGATGCTGCTCGATATTTCAAGGATGCTTGTGATAGAGTGAGCTATCAATCAAATAATAAACAGTTCATACTTGACAAGTGAGAAAAAATGTAACAATCTTAAGATGTTATCCTTTTCTGTTTCTTGCCCTCAGGGACTTTTGCCATATGAGTTTGTTGAAGGCATGAAAAAGAAGGGTATTCGTGTTCCTGGTATTGGACATAGGTGCAGTATTAATCCATTTTTTTTACAGTCTACTATTTGCTCATAAGGAATTGTTTTACCCCTTCTGTTCAGTCATTTTTCACTTCCTGTGAGATGAAGATTAAGAATTCATGTTTCTTCTCTAAGATACGTGTTCATTGATCAGTGATAATGAAATGATAAGTGGCTGACAATGGATTATTCTAAAATTTTGTGTGCGTGTTTAACATCTCCGGACTCTTTTAACATTCTGTCTAAATTTTACATTTTTGATGGTTTATTCTGTTTGTTGAAAATATGAAGGATCAAGAGAGGAGACAACAGAGATAAGAGAGTGGAGATACTACAACTGTTTGCACGCACCCATTTTCCTTCAGTGAAGTACATGGAGTATGCAGTTCAAGTTGAGACATATACCTTGTCAAAGGCCAACAACCTTGTTCTCAATGTAGATGGTGCTATAGGCTCTCTTTTCTTGGATCTTCTTGTTAGCAGTGGAATGTTCAGTAAACCCGAGATTGATGAGATTGTTGAAATTGGTTATCTGAATGGACTATTTGTACTAGCGCGCTCCATTGGTTTGATTGGGTGAGTCGGAACACATTGTTATATTTTTTGAGTAGCTATATATATGCCAACGCAGTGGTGCTAGAATTAAGACTGTCTATCAGTAATGGTCCAAGTACTTTTTGGTTTAAATCTGACAGGGTTTTAGGTGTAGTTTCTAAGGGACATAATTAGAACTCCACCGGTGTTTTCTAATGTTTTTATTTCACATTAAATACACACATACAATGATAGTATTCCAAAGACCTTTTATGCAGTTATCTGGTTCTTGCCTTGATTTTTCTTTTGAACACCCAGGCACACCTTTGACCAGAAGAGAATGAAGCAGCCGCTGTACCGCCATCCATGGGAGGATGTTCTCTACACAAAGTGATACATAGCTATATTAGCCATTTAAAAATTTAAGATAACTATTTTTTCTTATATATAAAACTAATTATTTTTTTAGTTTATATTTTGTTGTTATATTGTTTCTATTTTATGTAATAGTTGATTTATTGAATTAGAAATTTTGATTATTGATTTATATTAGCCATTTAAAAATATAAGATAATTATAAAAAAATAGCCAATAAGTGTTGTTTTGTTTTTGAAAATTAAAATTAATAAAATCTTATTTAAGATAAAAAAATGTATTAAATCAATTGGTTATATTATCAATTAAAAAAGAAATATTAGAAGAATTTGATTATAAAAGTTTAATTAAAAATTTTATATTTCAAAAAACTTAAAAAAATAAAAAAAATTTAATTTCAATAAAAAAAGTCACATTTAAATAATTAACTTTAAATCTTTAATGATATTGAGCCATACCTGATTCGTTTCTTAGCTGTTACTGCCTACAGTTACTACTTCGTTATTAGCCCTCCTCGTTGGCTCTGTGTTTGTGTCTGTGGTTCCTTCTCATTGGTGGCCCTCTGTTTTTAGGCAGCTAAGCTTTGTTAAATTGTTACTGAGTAGCTTCATTTTGTATGCAGGTGCCCTTAACTTTTAGTCCATGGTTATGGATGAACCCATTGCACTGTTTCTTCTCACTGATTTTAAAGTAAATTCAATTGACTGGCTGAGAGAAAAATGGAAAGAATGTAACTTTCTCATCGAAAGTAGTTTCAACCTGTCATTGTATCTCAAATTCACAATTATTCAATTTATCATGAGTTATATGAGGCTTTTCCTTTGTTTATTATTCTTTGATGCATATACAATACACATGTGAGTTGTGATAACCAAAAGAAAGAATCAATGCAATATGGGCCTTTAAATGTCTCCAAGTGAAACACCTAAAGAAGCAAGAACGAACTTCCATGTTTGCATTTTCTTGGTAATGAAAGAGTAAAAACTAAATAAACTTTCTCCATGTATTTTCTTTGTTTCACCCTATAATAGGCAGAAATATATCACTCATTATATCAGGATACAGTCTTTCACGAAGCTAAAACAATGAATTCATTAGAACTTAGGAGACCTTTGGTAGTTTGGCAATCCATCCTTCTTTGTCAATATATGATATGTTCAGAAATTGATTGAGCTGAGAAGCACTGAGTTTCCTCAGCCAAGGCACACGCTTCGAAGTGTTTGCTCCCGGTCCCTTACAATCAGCCTCCACATAGATCAAATTTTCTCTACAAATATTAGCCAGAGTTGCGCTCTTACTTCCATAGCAAAAGTAACTATTTCAAGAGTAATTTTTAAAGGCGAATATATATATATATATATGTATATGTATGTATGTATGTATGTATGGACTGAGATAATTAAATGTCATACTCATGATGGACATAGTGCCAAGCATCCCAACCAGAAGGAAGAATTGCATCAGATAGCACTGAATTATATATAATTACTCTTGAATAAGCCCCGTAAGCTCTGCCCAGGTAAGTTTTACCAGATCCTGTAAACACACAATATTTAAATACGAAGCCGCTAGGATCAGCTGATGAATTCCTTCCTTGCGCTGTTATGTAACCATTAGGATATGCTGGTGCATATTTTCCTGCTGTAAGATTTATTTCGCATCTCTGCAAATTACAAGAACATTTTCAGTACTTGAAATGAAGTTAAGAATGAGAACTGTATCTCATCTTCTTATGAAATTAGCAAAAGTTATTGTCGCACATACCTCATAGATAGACTGGCCACCGCCAAATATAAAATCGACAGCACCTTCAATATAGCAATTGTAGAAATAGTGGCGGCCTTGTACGTCCCACAAGGTATCTTGCAGCCCAAAGAAAGCACAGTTATAGAAAGCAGATTTATCCCCATATATTCTAACCGCTAGAGCTGGCTCCATCTTTTTCTTCGCATCATGTCCTGGCTGTATGTTATAGATATTCTGATCATGTTCAGAGTGAGGACAGAATTATTCCAAATGATAAACGCTAACCAGCCAAAAAAAATTCACAAAAATGTAATGCATGGTGCTGATTTTATTTCTGATCTGTTATCTTTTTTAAAAGATGCATAGCTTTAAGCACAACGTTACGTAGATTAAACTTGGGAGTCTTTTTGTAGCTGTAACAAGACCTGACGTTGAATCCCATCTTCATTAGGCATGGTGGTGAGGGGAGAGTTACTTCAATTTGTAGCCCAATTATCAGCAAAAGAAAATTTGGGTAATCAAGAAAGCAAAGAGGACCTCCATTTTCTACCTTGAACGTAATGCCTTTCGCAACAATGTTATCAGGAGATGAAGTGAAAGTAGCGCTGTCACAGGTATCCATATGATCCCCCCATTCAATACTGGTTAACTTGGTCCCAGCTCCTCTAAGAAAAATGCAAGGTTTGTTCGCAGGGATTGTAACCTTCTCCCTGGACCGATCCAACAGCAGAAGAGAAAAATCAGAATTTTTAATTATCTCTAATTTCAGGCATAAACCAAACAAATGAGACATGAAATTGTAAACTAGACTGTGTGAGCAGACATATTGTAGTACCTGAAGTTTCCAGGGGAAATAAGGATACGTATCCACTTATCGTTGTTAGATGGGATTGAATCAATAGCATTTTGAATGGTTTTGAAGTCTCCCTTGCCAGACTGATCCACCCTGATGGTATGTGCGACGTTGAATTTATTGGCATTATTCAATTGACATTCCAAAGCTTTAGAGATACTGAAATAAAGCAACACAATAAAAATCAATGCAAGCACATGCTGGAGGAACCGCATTTTCTGTGAATAACGGATCTAATGCTAACTAGCTGCTAGATATTCTCTGGAAGAGTCGCCTCGTTCAGTCTTCATGACTGAATGCTAAGAATCGTGGTGATTATAAAGAAACATATTTGATTAAGTGGTAGCACTAGCACACATGAAAGTTTCCAACGACAATCAAATTTCTGGGTAACTGGCAAAGTTGGTATTATTACCTCATTGTATTGCAATAAATGAATCATTAATCATAATTATGGGCATGAAGGGTGATTTTATTAATTGTCAAACTTAATTAGCTGGCAGTGGCCTGCATGGCGCTTTAATCCCTAATTTAGGCATACTATAGCAGTATACATCTAAATGACAAAACTCTCTGAGACTTTTGAGAGTACCACCTCCAATTCTTTACATAACGGAAAATGCAAAGATTCCACCATAATTAATTAGTGTGACAAATATTGTTCTTTCGTTTATTTTTTTTTCTCTTCTGTTTAATGTTTGAATTTTGTAATAATCTGTTGTTTCTTACTGGGAACTGGGATGTAGCTTATCACAGTACATGACTCCTCTATTTCTTGTTCTCACATCTCTATCTCAAACTTTTACAATATTTACTCAAGTTGATAAATGCAAGGGAGAGGAGTCAGGAGTGTAGTAAAGAAATATATAATATGCAAATAGAATGGAAACTCAGGTTGGTGTACAAGTAAGCTTGACCCGAACAGTTCATCTGAGCTTTTGTTCAGTGAAGCCCATTAGCAACTTGAAATTAGGGTGGTAAGCCCGTCATTTTTTTCCTTATAATCAGACACAAAACGTAGCAGGGAGCCCATCAGTTTTAAAGATCCTCTGGAATTCCCTTTTTTTAAAAAAAATTTCTTAACATCAAGCCATCAACAAAAATATAATGAACATGTTAGTGATTGATGCAAAAGATTAAGGATTAATCTATATAGATAGGACGGTTCTTACAAGATATTGAAATTATATCTCTTACAATAAAGGGGGATGTGACCAATTTATGCCTTTGTTTAAAGAAATGGGAATATCCTGAGACAAATAGCACTTAATCCACCGACATTTTGACGATCAATCTATCCTCGAAAGCTTCTACTTTTGGTAAAAAGTAATACTACACGAATATTAATATTCCACGTACCGCCAAAATATAGCGTGTTGAATCGGTGGTTGATGACCCCACAAAAACTTGGCAGTTTTAACAAGTTTGAATCCTTTTAATTATAAGTGCTCACTTTTCTAGTTATAGTGGGGGATTTGGTTTCTCCATATTTGACGCACTATAATTTTAAATGAGTTATTTGCATCACAAATAAACAAAAAAAAAATTGATAAGTTTTATGACGTCAATGTAACACATAGATGATTGTACTTTTCTTATTTTAAATCCAATACTATGCATGAAAATAAACAAATGTTAAGAGAAAACTAATAAATGAAGACCAATTAATTCGTATTCAAGAGGAAAACAAATATACACATTTAGCACATTTGGTGATCTTTGTGAACAATGTGTGCATATAAAAAGATAATAAAAAGCTTTTTTAAACAATATCAAGAAGGATTTGATTACTTGTTTTGTAACGGAAAGATAAAGTTTCCTCATTTATGTTTCTATTCATGTTATGTTTGTTATTAAAATATATTAATTTCTCAAATTAAATTGAATTCACAAATTTGATGAATAACTTCATCTTAAGTACTGTAGTCACAATGTGATAAAAGGATATTTGATCGAACAATGATGACCAAAAAAAGAAAAAGATATGGGAGGATTCTATATAGAGGAAACCCAAAAAGATGGACAAGATAAAAATCTTAGTCAAACAAGTTGCCTAAACGTTTATTTTTAATATATAGATCTAGTATTATTTACACATATTATCATTATTTCTATCTTAATCCATTTAATACATTTCACTCATAAATTAATTTTTTTTTTTGGCTTAAAACTTTTGTTTAACATGGATACGTCTAATTAAGAATGTTTGTAATAAGAGGCAGTTCAAAGGAGGAAGGAAAGAGTGCCCCCCATGGAGATTATATTCTTGTGATTAGGCGTTAATTAATCTGCTTAAAAGAGGGAAGCACACTCAATTAAACATGCATTTTTTTGGGTCCGTGAAATAGGCGAAGGTAACATAATCTGCTTCCTAACTGATCATTCCAGAATCAATTAAAAAAAATTTTCCTTGCGACTTTTGTGGCACTGGGGAAATCAGTTTGCTTGGAGGGGAAGAAATAAACTGTTTCGAGTCCTCTGTTTTTTTAAAAACAATCTTTTCATCGTGAATGGTGGATTCCAACTTTCAAGCAGCTTTAGGTCACCCAACTTAATTAATTGGGCCCAGATTGATTTCATTTCTGACTTTTTTTAGTAAACCTCAGGCCCAATTATGCAACCAACTTAATGTCGTCGTGGGCCATCATTCCTTTACCCTGTTTAACGAAAATGCCTCGCTAATTCATTTGAGGTTTTGTATTTATGATTTATTTAACAAACTCTGTTTTTTTAATTTAATATGTATTTTTGTTGAACATTATAAAATTCACCTAGATAACTACACTTAATTTTCAGTGTTTTATTTCGTTTTCATTGAGCCGTGTTATTTCTTAAGTTAATCCATTTAACTAAACTTATTCTTCATCAATTACGTGTTATATGGCAATATTCTTGTATTTTTTCATTCCCCTCACATTCTGCTTTCATCACTCTGTTATTGATTCCTTAGACAAGTAAAACTGTCCTAATTCTTAAGCATATTCTTCTTTAAATAACATACTCTCTTTATTCCCCCAACTTTTGCAGTTCAATCTCGGTTCCTACGTTTCAGTAACTAAATAAAGTTAGGAACTTGAGCTTCCCCGATTCCCATTAACCTTATCTTTTCAGCTTTTAGAAAGAATTTCTTCGGCGAAGCTTTGATTCCCTTGCGTGATACTTGGGTCGGGGCTTTATTGCGCGCATTGATCATGCAAAACTCCAAGGACGCTCGCTCATATTATTTATGTTTAATTACCAAGGCAAGGATATAAACAGAAAACAATGAATATAATTAATTAAAAATATATCTGGTTTAAGGAATAAGCAAGAAAATTAATATCGACAAAAAAGGCTTCCAGTTTCATCCGCCAGCAATCTTCAGTGTTCGAGAGAAATCACTGGCCCACAACGTCCAATTTTTCCTTACTTAAATTAGCCCAGAGCTGACAGTGTTAATTTAACAAAAAAAAAAAAGAAATAACACTTTATAGTCATCATATTAATTATTCAACGGGAGGTGCGCATGCCTTGGAAACTTTTTACTGTGTTTTTTACAATTTTAAGCAGTAATTTACGACTGCTAATCAGCATTAGCCAAGGATAAGGTTGGCTTGGAGCCTTGAACCCACAAAAAAAATTGAAAATACCTTGTGCTACAAATTCCCTCGAGATGAATACTGAATAGCGTTGCTATTTGGGATCCTTTTCTCGTGTCATCATTTCCCATGCCAATGACATCATGGCCCATAAGGGCTCCAGGGAAAAATTTTTATTACTATTAAATTTTCTGATTTGGAGCTGAATCAGCTGATACAGCACGTGTCCAGTTCCCACCTACCATTTTCCATTTCTGCATCTCAGGAAGAGGCAGCCCGGTCTAGTCGAGTGCTAAGAGCTAACAGAAGTGCCTAGTTCTCTTAGCAAGAGTCAATGTCAGCATGCATACATTCATACATGGATCATCCTTCAAATTTTAACCTTTTTTGTTCTTTGAGACAAGAACTTTATTGTCGCTTTTAAGTTTCTATGCGTTTCTGGATGTAACTTTTTAGTCATAACTTCCATTCATGGTACAGGGAAGCAATTCCTTGATTTGTTTTTCATATACTAAATGATTTCACTAAAAAGAAGAAAAGCAAAAATGCCAAGGTAACCAATTAGCAGAAACCAGAAAACAACCATCACCAAACCAACCGCCCAAACATTTTTCCATCTAGATAACTTGATCCTATTTTTTATTCAATTTCATTACGCACCCATTTCCTTTATTTCTCTATATATACGCGTGTGCATAGCTGAACAATCTCACCACCATTCTTCTGTGTGCAAGCAAAACATTTCTTCAAGCTCTTTTTAACAGTATTCTTTTGTTAGTTCATCAGCTTTATTGTTCTTCAACTACCATAACTGTTCTTCCTCGTAAATCCTTTCCTAAACCATCTATTTTTGTTAAGTGTATCAAAAATTGGTACATTCAATTCCGCTGTGTTGATTCTCTTGTAAATCTCTCGCTTCCTTATTCGTTTACTCTGTATCATAATAGCAAATTAGCACTTTTAGCTGCTGGGGCTGAGTTAAAGAAGATATCATAATCATAGATAACAGATTTTTAGGCGTAACTAAAATCTCTAGTGATTTAGATTCCAAAAAAGTGATCCTTGGTGCTCATAATAAACCCTGAAGGTTGCTCTCCATTTCCACATTGAGAACTACAACTCAAGTTTCATCTAGCCTTTGAGAGTTTTACGTACTTTGTTCTTTCCTGTGTCTTGTTTTCGCTTTAGTTTGTTTTTTTCCTTCTTTTTTGTTTCTCTGTTTTTCTCCTTTTGACTTGGCCATGGCACCTCCAAACAATCCCGCTAATTCCATTTTCAATCTTCGCCGCTCTAGTAGTTTGGAGAAGTACTTTGATTTGTCTAATGGCAAGTTCAGTGTCAAAGGCTTTCCTTTGCTATATGATGTTCCTAGCAATGTCACTTTCACACCTTTTTCGTCTATCTGTGACTCCTCAGCGTCTGATGCTCCGCTTCCCCTGCTTCAGCGTGTCCAGGCTCTGTCTCACGAAGGCGGGTTCCTAGGATTCAGCAAGGATGAATCCTCTGATGGGATGATGAACTCTTTGGGTAGATTCATTGATAGGAACTTTTTGAGTGTCTTCAGGTTTAAAACGTGGTGGTCTACACAATGGGTGGGAACTTCGGGGTCTGATTTGCAAATGGAAACCCAATGGGTAGTCTTAGATGTCCCTGAAATAAGGTCCTATGTTATAATTATACCCATCATTGAAGGGAGTTTCAGGTCTGCTCTTCGTCCTGGCAATGATGGCCATGTCATGATCTTTGCTGAGAGTGGCTCTACTCAAGTCAAGGCATCTTCTTTCAATTCGATTGCCTATGTTCATGTGTCTGAAAACCCTTTCAACTTGATGAAAGAAGCATTTAGTGCTATTAGGGTTCATCTTAATACCTTTAAGCTCTTGGAAGAGAAAAATGTCCCTTCTATCATTGACAAATTTGGTTGGTGCACTTGGGATGCATTTTACTTGACCGTAGAACCAGCTGGTGTATGGCAGGGTGTGAAAGAATTTGCTGAGGGCGGTGTCTCACCAAGGTTTATCATTATCGATGATGGCTGGCAAAGTATCAATCATGATAGTGATAACCCCAACGAGGATGCGAAAAACCTTGTTCTTGGTGGGGAGCAGATGACTGCCAGGCTTCACAGATTTGTGGAGGGCGAGAAATTCAGAAAATATAAGGGAGGGTCCTTCTTGGGTCCTAATGCTCCTTCATTCAATCCACAGAAGCCCAAGACGCTGATCACAAAGGCCATTGAAATCGAACACGCCACCAAGGCTCGTGACAAGGTCCTTCAGTCTGGTGCCACTGATGTTTCAGAGTTTGAATCCAAGATTAAGAAGCTGAAACAAGAATTGGATGATATGTTTGAAGGAGATGAGAGCAACCTTTCAGGAGGAGGTTGTGGAAGCTGTGGCTGCAAGGCTGGTAACTATGGCATGAAGGCTTTTACAAGGGATTTGAGAACCAAGTTCAAAGGTTTGGATGACATTTGGGTGTGGCATGCTCTTTGTGGTGCCTGGGGTGGTGTTAGACCAGGAGTAGCTCACCTCAATTGCAAGGTGGCCAATTGCAATGTCTCTTCGGGACTCAAGGGGACGATGCCAGATTTGGCTGTTGACAAAATTATTGAAGGTGGGATAGGACTTGTTCACCCAAGTCAAGCTGATGATTTCTACGACTCTATGCATTCTCACCTTGCGAAATCTGGTGTTACGGGAGTAAAAGTGGATGTCATTCACGTAAGTGATTTAAAATTTAAGTACAATATGTAATCTGTTTGTATATTTTATGTTTGATCGAGCAACAGTAATAATTCTTTATGAATATTTTCAATCCAGACTCTTGAATATGTATCTGAAGAATTCGGAGGCAGGGTGGAGCTTGCCAAGGCTTATTACGATGGGTTGTCAAAATCGTTGTCAAAGAACTTCAAAGGAACTGGAATTATCTCCAGCATGCAACAATGCAACGACTTTTTCTTCCTTGGGACAAAGCAGATAGCCGTGGGTAGAGTTGGTAAGAAAGTCAAAACAGATTGTCTTTTTCATCCTAATCTACTTGCGTAAGAGAACATCAATTAATTAACTAACGGAATTTAATTATTGTTTCAACAGGTGATGATTTCTGGTTCCAGGATCCAAATGGGGATCCTAACGGAGCTTTCTGGTTGCAAGGTGTTCACATGATCCACTGTGCTTATAACAGTTTGTGGATGGGTCAGATCATACAACCTGATTGGGATATGTTCCAATCTGACCACGTTTGCGCCAAATATCATGCTGGATCGAGGGCAATTTGTGGTGGACCAGTCTACCTCAGTGACTCCCTTGGCTGTCACGATTTTGATCTGATTAAGAAGCTTGTTTACCCTGATGGCACCATCCCCAAGTGCCTGCGCTATGCCCTTCCAACCAGAGACTGCCTTTTCGTAAACCCTCTGCTTGACAACAAGTCCATTCTCAAGCTATGGAATTTCAATAAGGTACCTCCCGTTGTTATCAAATTTTTTCTTTGTACATGGACTTACTTGGATATGTTGACTAATTGTATTCTTTCTTAATGCAGTATGGAGGTGTTATTGGATCTTTCAACTGCCAAGGAGCCGGCTGGGTTAGTAAGGAGCGGAGGATCAAGGGCTATCCACAGTGCTACAAGCCTGTCTCCGGCACTGTGCATGTCACTGATATTGAATGGGACCAATGCATGGAAGCTGCTGAAATTGGTGAGGCCGAAGAGTATGTGGTCTACCTTGACCAGGCCGAAAAACTGCTCTTTGTGACATCAAAATCTGATCCGATTCAAGTCGCTGTCCAACCATCTTCATTTGAGATTTTCAGCTTTGTGCCCATGAAAAAGCTAGGTCGCATTGCCAAATTCGCCCCTATTGGTCTAACTAACATGTTTAATTCTGGAGGAACAATTCAAGAATTGGATTACAACGAGGTTGGAGCCCGTCCTGCTGCTAGGATCAAAGTTAAAGGTGGTGGGAATTTCTTAGCCTATTCCAACGTTCCTCCAAAGAGCTGTTATACGAATGGTGCTGCGGTGGCTTCTGAGTGGTCAGCCGACGGCAAACTGACGCTGAACCTTCCTTGGATTGAAGAGGCTGGTGGAATTTCTGATGTAGTTTTTGTCTTTTAATCTGCTGATATTAATCCTTTTAAGGGCGTAGAAGCTTTGAACTCAGGAAGGACGTAGATTCATCCATGTATTAATTGGAAGTTGTTTTAAATTTAATGTTTTTTAATTGTCTGTCTCCACTATATATGCACTTTCCGAATTTTTTAATTATTACTGAGAATATACATATAAGAATGAAAAGAAAATATAGATGAATCTTAATGTGAAGGAGAGACAATTATAGAGAAGAGATATTCTTGGATCGTTTTGTTTTAGACCATATTCTTTTAGCCATAGGCTAATAAAGTAGTGAAGCTAAAGCTAAAGCTATGGGCTGTAGGAGGTACAGCAAAGAAATTGTATCCAAGCTTCTTTGAAACAATGATATATTCATGTACAAGGCACAAGCCAGAATCTGCCACCAAGATGCTTCTAACAACCTTTTGATAGCAACTACCACAAAAATCAGCTGTTTCAGTTACAAGCAGGTCTGTAGGTCGTTCATTTGAGGTAAACTTTTAATCCATTTAACCATTTGGCATAACTCTGATTTTCAGTTACTGTTAAACTCCACAGTTAAGTGCTTTTCAAAAAAAAAAAAAAACTCTACAATTAAGTAGTACAACTTTACAAGAAATTGGGCTGACAGTTGAAAAATGTGACGCTGTTCATGTCTTGAAACATAGGCCACTAGCAGGGCCCTAACTAAAGCAAGTTGACGATGGATTGAAAATAATGCTGGTTTTAGAAATAAAGAAAAAGAGAACACCGATTCCTGACCATGAAGCATCGTAACAAAAATTTGAAAGATAACTTGGAATCAGGACAAAGGCCAAAAATTGTCAGGAACAGATGGTTGCTTCCCTGCTTCCTGTTTGCAACACTAACAAAAGTAACTGAAATCAAGTAGCAGACTTTCTTTCTAATCAAGACCATTCACATCATGGACTCCGAATCTTTAACAATGTTGTGAGTGAATTAAGAGGTATTTTAAAATTAAATAAAATTAATCTTCTTGAAGTTAGATTTAAATCAATGTAAAAAAATAGTTTTTTATTTATTTTTTATTTATAACTTTTTGTAAAAGAATAATATTGCTTATCCAATACATTAATAAACTATACACTAAGACTTCTCCCTCATATTTTATATGTAGTTTTAGAAGTAAAATTTACGTGTTCCTCAGCATACTTATAATTTCCATCTCTACTAAAATTTTAATAGGAAGCTACCTGAGAGGTATTTCAGCATTCAACAAAAAAAAGGTTCAAATTTTGCCCAGCGTCAAACTTTCGCTCCCAACACGTGGCTCTAAACATCAGATCAAGACATGGTCTGAATGGGCTGGAAGAAACATCCCAAATTGCAAGAACCCAATGTCTCAGGCAAAGATTTAATTACCCGTCATGTCAAAGGTATCACCACAATTGTGATTCAATGGTCAGTGTTAACAGTGGTTTTCGGCTGGCAAACGATGTGAACTTCCATTTCATCAACACCTGTGCAGGACTGGGCCCAAGGGCCAAGCCAAGCCAGTGTACAAAATCCAAAAACTTTGGATAATTTCAGGCAATATGTGTCGGCAACAGGGGATTTGACACTTATGTAGATTATCTGGTATTCCTGAAAAGGTTAAAACGGTCCAACCAAAACTCAAAAGGCCAAAACATTGAAGTCATGCGAGAGCACGAGTCAGTTGCTTATGAAGACGCGTTTGGGCGAATTTCAATAGGATTATCCACTTCTTTTTGGTCGGTCCAATGTTAACGAAGTTCAGTCCCAACCATACCGATTACGAAAAGAATATCCAAAGATTCTTGAAAAGTGAAAGCCGCATTGGATCACCAACTGCGATTTAGCGAACAATAACTAACCGTTATTCAAAGCTTTGAACAAAGTTTTTTTTTTCCTCCAAATATTTGACCGTTAAAGATTTTATCCTCAATGAGCTATTTTATTATGCCATCATGTTATGCTTTCGGTGCATGCATGGGTCATGGATGCACATCGTAAGCATTCGTCAACCGTCATGTACCATATTTTGGGGATAAAATTTAACAAAGCCCAATCAGCGGTCCACAAACAGCCCAGAGAGCAAGAGGGAAATGAAAAACCAGTTAGTAATGGGCTCTTTGCCAGACAAAAACAATAATTAGGCCTAGGTTTTCAACCCATTGGACTCCATTGAGTTTTCTGAACTCAACTCAAGTTTGAACATCTTGTAGAAAAAAGTCTGAACAAGTTTTTCACCAAACGGTCGATTCATCTATGTTAGAGTTGTACCTTTTTGTGGCAGCCTGATCGGGAAGTTCAATTTTTTCAACGAGTCCACTTTTACTAATGGTTAGAAATCTTTAAGTTTATGATGGCTCTGTGAGAGAGACTATTAGAGATATATTTTCTCCTGTAATATCATATATAATTTAGGATAAAGTATATTGATTCTTTAAAATTTTATTATAATTATGTATACTTTTATTAATTTTTAAAATAAATGTTTTATCTCAAACCTATTAATGTCTAAATATGAAAAATCTAAAATATTTTTTTTACTTTTTGTTTTCTCAAGTCAGCCAATGACACATTTTTATACTTGTGGGTTAACTCCCAACTGAATCTAACTTTCCATGACTAGATCTGACCAAATCTCCTTAGGCTCCCTTGAAGAGCACCACGTGCTCCCCTGAGGAGCCCTAGATCGAGTTCCTTATTTGGTGCTCCTTCGTGGATCTTTGGTGGCAGGTGGAAATTTTTTTTTCTTAGAAAAGTGAAAAAAATTTAAAATAAAAAATTATAATTTATATATTAATAATTTTTAAAATTAATAAAAATAAAATTATTTTATAAATATTATCACGTTATGAAATTAACAAAAATATTAAAAATTGAATAATTACAGAATTTATATATTAGTGAAGGTATTCTTTTAGGATAGAGTATTAATTTTGATACTTAATAGATCTATTTGTAATTATCATCAAAATTTAAAAAATTTAATATATTTTATCTTACAATTTATGTAGGGGCTAGAATACCTAACTTTCTGCCTCCTTAGTTATGTAAATGTACATGTATTTGAGTAAAAGTTAAGCCTTGAAAATCGTAGTATGGCATCAAAGCGTAATGATCCTCTATACACAAACTCTGTTTCAAGATTTAGTTCCCAATGACTGATTTCAAACTCAAAGAATCCGTTGCAACCTCTAACCCAAGATTTTTTCACCTTCTAGTTTTATTTATAGAATTATAGTAAATTTGGACACCAGGAGGGGGAATATCCACTGTAACCTTTCGATTAATTATTATCATACCAAGCCTGGAATTTTGAAATTAAAATTAAAAAGAGTAATACACAAAATTGTCAATATTTCAATCTATCCTAAAACTTTTAGCATTTTTCTCTTTTCCAACTTACTTTATAATAATAATAATTTTGAAGAGTGAAAAGAGAACAAAGACGGTAAGCTAAGGTCATTTCTCACCATAGCTTTTACATGAAATAAAAGGTTTTAATACAAATTTGATATACCAAATTTAATTTAAGTTTCAAAAGATATAAAATAAAATAATAATCCCAACATAAATAAGTTTAACTCAACATAAAAATTAAATGGAGTACAAAAAGAGATTTTCACGGGATTTTGGCATAAATGTATCTTTTTAAAAAATTTTGTATTTCAATATTTGATTTAATAATTAGTACATAATTCTCTATTCAGAGAACAAAGTTCAATTCATCCATCTCCAAGTTAAAAAAATAAAAACTAAAATTCTAGAAAAATAAAATTGGAATTGTTGGACCAAGTGGTCATTGAGCCATTATTTCTTATGTTTGGTGCAATCAGCTAAACAATAAATGGGTTATAAATGGGCTTTCGAACGGAGAATGCAAGCCAACGAGTTTGGACACACCCAAGGCGCGAATTGGACGGAGCCCTCAGAGCAATATATTTTTTTTATTAAAAAAAAAATTTATTACTTGAAATTAATTCTACGTCGCCTACATTGTTTCTATTAAAAATTATTCAATACAATTAGAAATTTTTATTTACGAATTAAATAAATTTTATCAATATTTATAATAAAAAATTATAATAAAAATTTTAAAAACATAATAAATGAATACATTTCAAAAATATCTCATTCAATACAATTAGAACTCTTATTTGGCAGCAACTTAGAACGTCTTAATTTGGGCTTCAATCATTTCCTTTTGATGCTACTGTACACAATTATAAATATAATTTATATAATCACTAAAAATGATTTTAAATGATAAATAAATATTTAAATATATAATAAATAAAAATATTTATTTTGCCAAATTAATTTTTTAATATTCATAATTTCATAAATATTATAAATTATAAAATTATAGACGTTAATTAAAAATATAGATAACAGATAGGGTTTTCTCAACTAATTAAATTAAATTTTTTTTGAATGATATGAATGATAATTCTTACCTTTCAAAAAAATATTAGTATTAGTATTTTTTTTTATAATTAGAGAAAAAGAGATTCGAATGAAAATCATGCAATAACTAATAAACCAAATGCTTTAGTACTTAGTATTAGTACTTTAATATGACAATAGTATATTTTTCTATTGGTATATAATACATGTTTGATCTAGTTTCTTTTCAATTTATCTATCTTTTAAAAGTAAAAATTAAGCCAAACATGATTTTTGATAAGCTCCTAGAAAAAATAACTTAAAAAAAACAAAATTAAAAAATAAACTTAAAGAAAAGCTCTAAAAAGGATATTCTTTTAAAAATACATCAATTTTTCAAGAAATATCCTTTCTCGATCAATCTCCCTCTCCTCCCATTTTTTTTACAAATCACCATTTTTCAATGTAAATCGCAATCTCACTCTTCTTTACTTATCTCTACAAAAATTACTAAGAAAAACAAAAACAAAAACAAACGACTAGTAATACAAGAACAAAATCTAGAATTTTTGTTGTTCTTATAAGGATTTAAAGAAAATAAAATTTAAAATTCAAAATTGCATTAAGATACTATTTAAAGG